AAAATCTCCACATCTCTCCAATGGTTCCCAAACTTAGTCTTAACCCTATCAAACCACCTAATGTACAAGGGTTTTTTGGAGGGGGGGCCCGTTCGGTATACTTTAGATACAGCATTCAGAAAGTCAGTTCGAACCTCAGATTGATGAATAAGAGCCTGGCTCTTTGAAGAAAGATTGAAGGAAGAAAAAGATCCGCCACAAGAATGGATAGGACCCCCAAAAGCAAAATTTACATCATCAGCAATGTAAGGGATGAGTACCTGCGTCTCAGCGACCTTCTGAGAAGCTTCCTCCATTAGAGGAACTGGAGACAATTTCTTGTTGTTAATCTCCAGCAGGTTAGAGGCCAACGAGGGAAGTGGTGGGGCTGAAAAATCAGAAGATTTGGAAGAGGTTGCCATTTCTGGAGAGTAGAGGAAAACAGAGGATAGAAGGTGAGGGTGCAAGGTTGAGGACAAAGGCGCAAGGTAGAAGATGAAGTTGCAAAGGAGGAGTAAAAGTTCGCGTAAAAACCAGGGTAAAAGACCAACAAAGTGTTTAAAGGAAAACTACCTAGGGTACTAGAAACGACGGAGGCGAAGGGCAATTAATGTGGCGTGTACAGTAAGGCAGCAGACTGATGTGATGGTGACATAAAGCAGAAAGAAACCTAAAACCCTGAAAAACCCCAGAAACCCTAAAACCCTGAAAAACCCCAGAAACCCTAAAACCTAAGTTATTGTGGGCCTCCAACACGCGAAGGCAGGAATCATGTTGAAAGAATATAAACAGAAACTATTTATATTCTTCCAAGGGGGCATTTTGTTAGTGGGAAATCGATAAAGGGATCGAGAAACAAATGGGAGCAAAAATCGAGAACCATTTTGATTGAGTTAAAGACTGATAAATCGAAAGATAGTTGGAAAATACGTTCGACGACCATGTGACAATATAAGCGAGAATTAGAATCGAGAATCGAAGGAAGAATGTTTAATATCCGTTAGTGAATGAAATCGAGAAATCAGAATTATGTAATGTTAAGGTTAAGGGAAATCAAAGGCAAGTCAAACGTTCTCGAGATTCCGAAATCAACATCGAGGGAAAGGTTAACCCATGTATCGAAATCCCGGCTAAGTTATAAAGAGAGGAACAATTGACGTGCACATCGAACATGGTAAGCGGTGGCAAAGGTCGAAGGTCAAGGGAGCAGTTACCTCATGTATGGGAACGTGAATGCAGTTTCTAAACCGTAGAGCTAGGAGTAAAACTGCAAAAGACGTGCACGCAGAACGTGGTAGCAGTTTTCGTTAACTGCTCCTAAGAGATTACTTGAAAGATGCTCTATAAATAGAGCGAAGGATGAAGGGAAAAGGGAGTGTGGAAATTGGCAGAGAGAGCAGGAATACTAGTGAGAAGTCTACCGGAGAACGACGAACATCATGAAGTTTCTGGCGATCTGGATTTCCATGTTCATTGATTTCCTTTACCGCTTTCTTTATTTTCCCTGGTAATTTACTTTGATGCAGTTTATGTTTAGCAACTTTAAGTTTCTGTATTTTCGATTCCTTGTCATTTCCCTTTAATGAAAGTTAAGTTTCTGCGTTTAAGTTCCTTGTCATTTATATTAACGTAATTTCGATTTCCTGCTGTTTACATTTCCGAAATTTCGATTCTTTGTCGTTTACACTTAATGCAAGTTTGAGGTTTCCGCATTTTACATTTCTTTACAAAGTTAATATTCTGCACTGTTTTTCGATTCGACACTTTACTGCTTTCTTTATTTTCGATGTCTCCTAGCAGAAAAACACAAAAGAGTACTTTTTGCATGCCATATTCCGTTAGTAGCATCATCTCGACTTTGGTAGTGCTTTCAATTCTCATACGCATTTCGATTGAAAATTAATTGCTAGCCTAAGTAAAAAGAATCTACGGGGTTGAGTTTTGGTTAGAACAAAATATCTTAAGAATCGAAATCAATCAAAATTCCACTAGAAACAGGAGTATACAGTTTAAAGGTTTATTCACGAAGAATAAAATTTTATTTGTTTGTTGCAGTTTAAATATAGTACGTGGTTCACAAACTGTTACTACGTGATATGCTATGTTTATTAATACGTAGAATTTAATTCTGTGAGAATTTGTTAATAAGTGGGTTATATTTCCTATTTTCTAGTTAAAGTTAAATTTATATATTTAATTTTTTTTTATAAATTTAACACGTTAGATTATTCAAAACAAATAACAATATAGCTAGATAATTAACAAATATAACTCACGTATAGATAAATTATGAAGTTAAATTAATGAATTAAAAAAATAAATATCTAATTGAATTTTATAATAATTACATTTTTTTCTTGAGAAAAATCATTATTAAATTTTATGAATAAAATTATCAAAAATAATTTGACATTATAAATTTTTATTTTTTTAAATTATTACATGGACCGACTCGTATAACTCTCGTATTTGTATTTTTATAAAGCAAATTAAGATATTCAGTCGATAAATTTTGGATGAGTCAACCGTCTCACCTAAATTTTTACGGGCTAATTATGGAACGGATTGACTCTATATAATAACTCAATTCATAGAGCTTCAAGCTAAAATCTTATTTAAAAAAAAATTGAGTTCAATACCATCCATATCAATACACAATCTATGCATGATTTTTGGTAAGTTTTAATTTGATTAAAGAAATCATAAATTGTGTTCAATTGATGTATCTTCTTTGTTAATTATGTTATGAAACATGTTTTTTCATTATTATAAATATATGCGAGCTTAATTAAATTTTATGTCTTTTATTAAAATTGTAATTTATTTTTATTTAAGTGTTTTTTTCTACTATTCACATAATATTTCAAAGATAATTAAGGACTATTTTGTATTTATAATTAGGGTTGTAAAAAAGATGTGAAATGATCTTAATCTGACCTTATGAATGAAGAAAAAAATGATTTTTAAAACTTATATATTTAAACGTGTTATAATTTTTTGTTTATCATGATTCTATATTAAGTGAACAGATTAAAAAAATTAATTTTTTTCTAATTAAAAATTTTAAGAAACTATTAACTTTTTGATATCATAACAATTAATTAAAAATATTTAAATAAAAATATATTTTTAAATTTTAAACTATATGAATAAAATTATTTTTATTTTAAATATATAAATTATAAAAAAAGAGATTCATTTAATTATAAAATAAATAAGAATTATAAATTTAATTATCATTATCATAATTTATTTTTTTAATAATTTATTGATATAAAATAATAATTCATTTTAATTATTAAATAATAGAATAAGCAGATATTACAAACTTTCTCTATTATTTATTATCAAAATAATTTATAATACATAATTTTTTTAATAAAATAATATTATTTTTATATACTTTTTAACTTTAATTTGAGTGATACAAAGCTTAGCATTAATTAATATCACTTGCATAAATATACGAGTGATAGTGGCTATCCATTACAGTTTTTTAAAATCCTTCCATCTCAATTACGATACAAGGAATCATGCATAAAAAATAAGTTTTTTTTTTTTTAATTGAAGTATCTTTCAGTGGACAATTAAGAATCAAAATTTTGAAGTATTAAAATCCAACAGTGTATATGATTTGTTTTTATAGTTATCATTTGTACTTATTCATTGAGATCATCCAATAGTTATACAATTAAAATAGAATATGAAAATGAGATGCAAATTTTATTTTACAAATTGAAGTAAATTAAACTTAAATTTACTTATGTTGTGATATAAGAACCTTATCCTAACAAGACTTAGTAGATATATTATATCATATTCTTTATAAACTATTTATAAATATTTGAAAATTATTAAAATATTTAATATTTAAAAGTTTTAATTTCTCAGAACTTCCAAATCTTTTAGCACATTTTGAAAAATAAAATTATTTGTTAATCATATAGGACAGAAGTAAGGCACAAACAAGGTCTTCCAAAGCTTCTCCTTATAGTATGGAGTGGTCATGGCCTCCACCACCTACTCTCAAACACCAATTGAAAGTAATTTAGATATGAATTTTTATTTATTTTTGTTTAAATATGTATTTTCGTTCAATCTTTTATGTTGATAAAACTATAAAACTTATCTTTATTTTCATTCTCGAAAAAGATAAAAAGATAAAATTCATATATTTTAAACAAAACTATAAGTGAAGAAACTTTTTTTTCTTTTTTATATCCTTTAATGAAACAGAATCTGATTTTGGTGAAGGATGAACTGAAATTTAGAAAAAAAATAATTGAAAATATGTACTGGTTTTATTTGTTTTACCCACAAATTCTTGTACTAAACGATTAAAGGATTGATTTTTGTGATATGATTGTTAAAAAAAATTATTACATCATTTAATTTTTATATTTTATTTTTAAATTGAGTTGATAATTAGAATTTGAATACAGGTGATTACTATATCCAATAACAATCATAGGTTCATTATTCATACAATAAGATTAAATTATTATTTTTTTTCTCTTTTCCTATCATATAACTTCGAAATCCAAAATCATGTCCAAGCACAATCCAACTATATTTTTGTCACATACATTACATGTGAATAAATTTTAGTGTGTATCCTGAACTAGTCTCAAGTGCTTATACTTGTATATTGTTGTGTTATATATATATATATATATATATATATATATATATATATATATATATATATATATATATATATATATATATATATATATATATATCATCAAACCATAGAAAATTCAATTATCACTTCTAACAACTTGTGATCAATGTGGTTGTCCTTGTTCCACCCTAACCATCATTTTGCTGCAGCTCTCTATTTCTGGCCCCAGTCAAATGTGACAGAACTACTTGCCTTCCCTTTCATTGACAAAGCCATGCCGTCTTGTAAAATAAAATAACACACCATTGTTTTTTTCTTTTCTTTTTTTCTTTTTACCTTTTGCTATCTGATGTATGTATTGTATTGTATCTACTTTTCTGAGGAGTGTTATCTGCTGCTATATTTTATGTTTGTTACCATTTTCACTGACGGCAACATACACAAATGGTCCAATGAAAACATCATCGAAGTCCTGAAGTGGCTCCAACACCTTCACCACATCACTCATAGTTGGCCTTGCATTTGGGTGATGACTCAAGCATTTAAAAGCCAACATAGCAACTTTCATGGCCCCTTTCATGGGAAATTGCCCTTCTAGTCTACTATCTATGATGCTGTAAACCTTTTTCTGATCTCTCAGCATAGGCCTTGCCCATTCCACTAAGCTCTTCCCACCATTCGACCGAGACTTATCCACCACTCGTCTTCCTGTAAGCAGTTCCAACAGCACTACTCCATAGCTATACACATCACTCTTGGTTGTAAGGTGACCTTTAACAGGGCAATGAGTAATTAGTTAGCTTCATCAAATATAAGGTTTTCTCATTTTGAACATAAGAAGATATAGTGTGTTTGGTTGAAAGTTGTGATGTTATGATTTTCTACGTTCAATCAGAAGCTAATAGTTATAACTTTCACAGATTTTTATTTTTGGCTAAAGAGAATTTTAATCACTTTTAGTATGAAAGGCCTAAGTTCAATTTACACCTCAAAATTTTTTATTGAGGCTTGTAACATGCTTTTAGGAGCAAGGAATGAAATAGTCTCCCTTGCCCTTTACTTTTTGGATGTCAATTTAATCTAGAAACTTGGTTAACATTTTGTATGGTAGTGCATATACCTGTCATGATGTACTCAGGAGCAGCATAGCCTTGTGTTCCCATTATGCGTGTTGTTACATGTGTGTCTTCCCCTTCAGGGCCATCCTTGGCTAGACCAAAGTCTGAGAGTTTAGCTGTGAAATCCTAGATTTAGCAGAGAAAAAAAGATTAAAGGGTGTAAATTTATTTCCTGTTATGGATACTAAGTAGGTAATGCAATTAAGAGATGTAACATGAGATCACAGAACATACTGAGTCTAGTAAAATGTTGGAAGCTTTGAAATCGCGGTATATTACAGGCTTATCTGCTTCATGAAGGAAGGCCAGACCTTTGGCAGCTCCTAATGCAATTTTCATCCTGGTTGACCATGGCATAGCAGCAGAGTATCCTGTTTATATCAGAACAAAAGAAACTGTTATTAAGTAAGAATCCAATTTTTTGTATCAGTAAGAGGGTTTGTCAATTTGTTATTACCAAAGAAAACATATAGATTAGAAACACTTAGGTGTGCATGAGCATATTGAACAGAACATCTGAAATTCTAAATCGTTTGATGATAATTATTGAGCTTAATCTTGCAATCATGTTCAGCTATCAATTACTTCCAATATAAACAGAACTACACAATAAGAAAAGGATGAGGATAAGTAGAAGAGAAAAAAGAAACATACTTCTGAAGAGTTGATTCTCCAAGCTGCCTCTTGGCATGTATTCATACATCAAAAGCCTGTGTTCATCCTCATAACAGTACCCAATTAGCTTGACAAGATGTGGATGCCTTAGCTGTCCAAGAAATATAATCTCTGCCTAGAAAAGAAAATATGATCAAAACAACGGTTTTTTTAAGATACTAGTTCATTTATTCATGAGTATAGTATTTTGTTGTCAAGGCATCTTAAATTGATATGGGACAACCAAATAAATGGGGTAATCATAAGAAGTTAACAAGGGCACTTGAGAAAGCCAACTAACCAGCCACTCCCTGTGACCTTGCAAGCCATCCAAGTCCAACCTTTTCACAGCAACAGTCTGAGCTTTCAAACCTGGCCTCAGTTTGTCATCCACAAAACCCTTGTACACAGGTCCAAACCCTCCTTCTCCTAGCATATTACTCCATGAGAAATTGTGCGTTGCTTCCCTTAGCTCATCAAGTGTGAATGCATTAAGTTTTGAGCCAGCAAAGGAAATTGAAAGATCCTCAATGGCCTGAGTGGAGCTTGGGTTGCTCACATCAGATAAACACAGCCTCTGGAAAGACCCTTGTTTCAAAACCTGTTTCTCAGATTCCTTCAAGGGGCACTTAACCTTGTAACAATTTAAGATCAAGATCACAGACTTCCATGTGTTCCTTTTAGTACTCATCTAGAAAATTGGTCTATATGTGAAAGTGCAACAACCCTTTGTGTATATTTTTTCTTTCACGAGCTACTTCTGATTCTAAAATATGAGAAAAACGACATAAACTTTAGAATGATTGATGCTGCTGGGAAAAAATAAGTGTAGGTTGAGGAAATTTATAAGTACATATTTTCACCTACCACCTTAGAAGAAAAATTGTGGGAGAGATTCCTTGACTTCTAGAACTCATGAATGTGGATGCTAGAACAATACTACACGATATACATGAATGATTTTTATTTTGTTATAGGTCAATTAACATGCCTACTTATTATTGACTTCAATCTTACACTATGTTTGGATCAACTTCTACAAAAACATTTATAGAAAAAAATGAATAAAATTAATTCATGCATAAATTAAAAACAAAAATTTATATCAATTACGTATAGTCTCTATCTTGCATCCCTTGCCGTCCACATATTTTTGTGTTTAAGAAGTGATGTACATTTGCCGAGAAGATCGGAGAAATGAAGAGATGTAACAAAACTCCATTAGTGCCAAACCAACAATTCCATTGTCTAATGTGTCAAAAGGTTTTGTTTAATCGTTCAATGGGTTATGTTGATGACACGTGAATTATTACATCGAAAGAAAAGTGGTATGTGGATTTTGAGATTATTTTATGGTTTTATTTGATATGTCTCCATATTTGGTAGGTAAGGCCCCTCTACGTTGGTGTTGTTGTTAGGATGTCATGATCATACAATAGCAACCCGACAGTGAAACTCTTGTTTTAAATTCTCTATGTGATCATCAAGGACAGCTTCTAGAATCTACAACTTAAGGGTTTCCTCTTACATTATTGTTTTACTTCGGATTAATGAGTTTGTGTTCGTAGAAATGTAATGAAGGCATAAAATGTTTTAGAGTCAACACATCCAAGGACTTTCACAATAAAGTTTTAAATTTAAAAAAGTGGGAAAGGTCAAAGAGAAAGGGTGAACCAATTAAGCTAACCCCAACCACTTCCATCGATCATGGAAAATGTTGCAAAACAATGAGTAATCATTTGGAAAATGGAATTCATGCAACGGCTCAAAGGGGGTAATCATTTAATTAGGGTTTGACAATTGCACTGCCCTTTTTTCTTTCAAAGTTATTGATTTTAACATGTACAAATTGGTTTCTTATAAAAAGTTTAAAAGGTTGTGGGGCTTCTATAACAACAATTTTAGGTTGAGGGGTATTTTAATTTTTACATTTTTCTATCAAATTTTACACTATTCTTGATTATCATATCTTCACCAACTAACAAACACCTGAATTTTTTCAGAAGTTTGGTTTAATCATTTTATATAATTTAAAATTATTTTTGGTGTTTTTTTAATTAAAATTAAATGTTTCACTTTAACAAATAATAATAACAATGTTTTAAAAGTTCAAATTCACTCCATAAAAATATTGAATCATCTGGTAGATTGATGAATCAATGAACTACACCTATCGATATAATACTAACATTTATTTTTGTATATTAAATATGAGGAGTGATAGTTTATTTCAATAACAATAGATAAATATTTATTATTTATTTTCAATTTTTTCTAATGATTTAAAATAATAAGTTATTTTAATTATTATAACAAAATAACTATATATAAAGATTGAGAATTAATTTATAATTTGTGAGTAAGTCATTTTTTCATGAAATATATACTATTTAATGATTTAAAACGTTTTTCAATCTTTATAGGCAACTAAAGGCACAAATATGATAAGAATATTAATATAAAAACTCTAACCTTAAATACCTTAATAATGAAAATTAGGGCTTTTAAAATGGCACTAAAAAGGGACAATCCAACTTGGCCCACAAGTAAAAAAATTTAATAGCCCAGCCTGATTTATATTTTAAAACGGGCCAAAATTTTGGCTTAGTCTGATCCTATGTTAGGTCAACGGGCTAACAAGTAATTTTTTGTCTAATTAAAAATAATTTTTTTTATTATTTATAATTTTTTTAATTATTTGAAAAAAAAAATATTGTCTATTTAAAATAAACTCATAACATATTTCAAGCAAAATAAAATCAAATATATAAAATCATAAAAATGAGTTGTTACAGTTATGTATCCTTGAGAAGTTATAATTGTCGATAAAGTCAAACTTATCCTACTAGAAATATTAAATAACACATCATATCCAATCACAAATATTATATAACAAACTTATCCTTGAAGCGTTTCTAGTAATTAGTTTAAAACTAGGACTCAAAACTTTATTTACCTCCCAAATTCTCTCATACTCAACATAACTAAATTGAAAATTATACTTAATAATGCATCTAGAAAGTGCATGTTGAATTTCATTACTTCAACAAACTAACCTTATTATCCAACATAACTCTCACATCATGATCTTTAAAAACAAATGTGACGACAATACGAGAGAAAAGAAATGATCAAAGCAAGTGAACATTATGTTTAGAGTTTATTATTATTTTTAAATTATATATATTCTAATAAAATAATATTAATTTTATTGATAAAAGAATTATTATTTTATAAAAAGGGTCAACACATAAACCTATGGGCTAGCCTGCCCTAAGCCTATTTAGACCCGACTTAAATAGGTCAGGCTAAAATTTGTCTTATTCTATTTAGGCCATAAAATTTTTGGTTTAACCTAACCTATTTTTTGGATCTTTCGGGCTAACCCATCGGGTTAAGTTTATTTTGACACTCTACCAAAAAATTCTTTAACATATTTTTATCAAGCGAAAAAAAGAGAATAAAGAAAGAGAAGAAGAGAGTGATGTGTGAAAAAAATGCGGAATACTTAATAAAAAAAGTGAAAATTCTTTTTTTTTTCACATGTCAAGAAAGTAATCAGAAAACAAAATATATAGTATATTTACATAATTAATTTTGTCTTAAATTTTTAAAAATAATTATTTTAATAATAAATAATTAAATAAAAATATTAAAATAATAAATAAATTTATTTAAAATTAATAAAATAATATTTTAGTTAATTAAATCAATTTTACCTTTTATATTTTTTTATCTTATTTTTCTTTATTTTTTACTTTTTTTTCTTTCCATCCAAATAATCTCATTTTTTTCAATTTTCTTTCCATGCTAAAGGATCATTTCTCACTTATAGAATCATAAAGAACAAATATAAAAAGGTTTTTATCTGATTAACTAGCTAACCAAATAAATATATAATAAAATTATTAACGTTTATCATAACAAGCTTATGTGGATAAGTGATGCTTATGCTGGCGTTAGTGAAGGAAATCAGGCACGCTTTCTAATGATATGCACGTTAGTACTTTAATATTGTAAGCATGACTAGTTAAATAATTTTGAAAAGAAAGAAATAGTGTAACTTGAGTTCCATCAAGAATTTTTAGATTGAAATTCTATTTCTTTTATAGATAATTTGAAGTGTTTTCTGCAAAAAGTATTTTATTTAAAATTTAAAAGAAACTACAATTTTAGAAATTATTTAGAATAATTTTATTATTTATAATTTAAAAAAAAATAAAGGATCGGGATTTTTATTTTTAAATATTTCTCTTTTCTTTTTATATTATTTCATGATGTTATTGCTCGTAACTTTGTCCATTCTATTAAGGTTTAATTACGGATGATAATTAAACCCATATCGGGAAGAATTATCTATTTTTGTCTTGAATTTGATAGGAAAAAATCGAATTAGTCTGGGCAAAGACGAATTTTGGTTTTTCCCGTTTTAGAAAATGCTGGGCGGGGATGAGTAATGTAATTCTCACTTCGGTCTCGTCCTCATCTAACTTTATATTTAAATTTAAATCTTAAAAAATTAATATTTTAAAAGTATTTTATTTTCTTTCTCCATTATATATAAGATAATTTTTTTATATTTCACAATTTTTACTTTTTTTCTACCTATTTGTTCATTCTTTTATTTTTTTTAATCTTTTATATCAATTAATTCATTTTATTATTCTCTTTCTCCTATATTTCACTTATTCATATTTCTTTAATCTCTTCAATTAATTTAAATTTTTAAATCTTTCAATAAATTTGACAAATACAAAATTAATTTTTCTTTTTTCTTTATCTTTTTCCAAATATTCTACATTAATCTTAATTTTATTTCTAATTTATTTTTATTATGTTATATTTTTTTATCTTATTATTCTTATTAGTCATATATAAATTTTATCTAAATAAAATAATTGTATTTTAAGGATTAAAAAGAATTAATAATTAAAAATTGTATTACTTTGAACTAATTAAATAATAATTCACTTATTAAATATATTTTTTAAACTTCATATTTTTAAATATTTTTTAAATGATAACTTAAAAAATAATTAACTTATATATAAATCAAATGTTTTAATATAGTATTATAATAATAATGTTATAAATATTTCCTATTCATATAAAGAAAAAGATTATTTAATATTTCTTTTACATACATATTTTAATATAAATATAACAAATTAAGTATATATTTAATTAAAAGTAATTATTATAAATTGTAAAATTATACATATTTATTTATGTATAAAAAATACATTAAAAAAATTAAAATTAATTTATTATGATTATAATTATATTTTTAGAAATAAAATAGATCATGGGATAAAAACTTAATTTCTAATCTTAACGAGGATCGAGGATGGGAAGTAATACTCACCTTACCTACTCCATTGTCATATCTAAGTTGAATATTATCAATTTAACAAAATTTTGTAGGACTAATTTTTTTAGTAAATATTATTAATAATTTTAGAAAAAAAATATATTATTTCTCATTCAATATTAGTCAAGAATTTCCTTGTAAATATCGACATTTTTTTAGTTATGTCAAATATTGTTTTTATTAAAGTTAATTAAGATTATTTTTAATTAATAGAAGTTATTTTTTTAATTAATATTGCCAGAATTTATTTTTTAACCTATATTAATTAAAAATATATAATCATCTTTGTATAATATAAATTGGGAATATATTTTTTTATC